AGCACAGCCTTCTCGAAAGGCCGGGTCCAAAGGGCTTGTCTCCCCTACAAGCACAAGGCTTGTTTGGGTCGCGCATGGGACGTTTCAGTACGTTCTGCGTTTCGAAAGTCGAAAGAAAGAAAGTCTCTCCCTCCCTCTATGCTCTCTCCAGTCAAGGTGCATCGTGCAGGTTTTCGCTACTGGTAGTTGGCATAGCAGAATTCACTGCTTCTTCAACTGCATGTCACAGTGCGGTGTTCAGCAATCTGGACTGGTAGTGTCTGTTGGACTGACAGGCCATCGCTGACTCGCGAGATCACTTCAAGCACAAGGAGGGGCTTCAGGGATCTGCTGCGCTTCTTGTTTCGATGAAATTCCAGCCGCGAAAACAGCAGTGAGTTAATTTCATAATGTACACTTGTCGTGCCTCGTAGACTGACCTGTTGAAGCCCAAGCCGCGCTTGCGTGCAACTGTGAGGCCTTTTATTTATGCTTCACCTACTATAGCGTGGACGCTGAAGTAGAACCTTCCCTCACAAAGGCTTCAAGCATGTGTCGTCAAAAGTAGCACCCACGAACACTTAGTTGATCCGAGCCCTTGCACCACTTTGGAAACAGAATCTCAGCGTCACATCTTTGTTGCAGCTGCTGCCCAGCTAACATTATCTGCAAATACATACCTAGACCCAGTTGCAAATCTTAAGTCCCAAGAGCTTACAAAGTCGCAGGTCGAGGAGCTCTGCCACAGGCTCCTGGGCTCGGTAGAGCCAGCCTTTCAGGCAGCGTCGCAGGGATTCGGAGATTTTGCAAGGAGTCTTGCAGTCTCGAGGCTTTTGGTGCAATGTTTGGTTGTGGTACATGTGCTGTGCACCCACCCAACAGTCAACAGTCGGTGAAGAACTGGCATGCATGCACCCTGCTCCAGGAGAAGGCCCTTACAGCCCTCGAAGCGTTTGGCGGGGTGACCTAGACACCGGGAATTTTGGACGCGGAAGGAAAAATGGTTCTGGCATGAACAAACACTGGGCAAAAAAGGAACTTTAGCCAGTGCAGACTTAATTAGTCTTGTTCACAGAACAAGGACTCGCAAAGTCGGCTCAGCTCAGGTTTGTGAGTGGGCTGTCTGATCGGCGTTGAGCATGTCGCGAAGTTTGGCATGCTGTGCAGCCAGCGGTAGTCAGATGTAGTGATTCTTAGTATAGCTCAGCTCATTCCTTGACAGCCTGCGATGAAGCTTCTGAGCCCAGGCACAGGAATACCGGGGACTGAAGATGTGACCGACGTGACCCAAAGCATCATCCAATCTCTGCGGAAGGCAGACGCCCACACATAGGGCAGGTATACAATAGTATATAGATGCATTGGATCAATGCATTCTGCAAAGTATGTGCAGGTGCGGGAGGAGTTGGACAACTTGGCGTCCAGCCGGCATGAGAGCCAGAGAAGGAATTTATGCAGAGCTCAGACTTAATGACGTGTCTGGGAATGCCATGCTTTGAGAGCAACTTCATCAGCCAGGTCCAATTGGGACAAGGCGAGTACTCGCCAGGAAGAGGGACAAACCTCGCAAAAGCGGGAGCCAGAGAGGCTCCCCGCTGCTTGCATCATGCAACAAGCGCTGTAGCTTCCTTGCTACCGGTACCGGTACTGAGAGTGCTGAGGGGCTTGTGCCTGGAGGCCGTCCTGTGGTACCACATCAGTGTGGCAGGACCCGCACCTTTTTTCAGCACAGCACCCGAGGCTCTTTCCTTGTTGCGGGGTGTGAAGGGCATCGTCTCTTCCTTGTACAACGGGTTTTGGGGTTGGCATTTGCTCCAACCTTGCGCCTCCGTACCAGATTGTCGAAGCGTGAGGAGCCCGAGCAAGCAGAGCAACACCTCGTTTCGCGTCTCAGAGGGTTTCTGAATGTGTTCTAGTCAGTGATGCGGAGAGCTCAAGCTAGTGGGGTGTGCCATCTTACTGGGAAGTCAGATGATTGCTTAGAGCATTGTTTTCAAGACATGCGCCATTTGGGCACACCCAATCTACTGTTGCACCAGCTTTGGAACTCAGAGCATCAACCTAGAGTGGTGCGGCAATAACTTAAAAGGTTTGAGTTGGTGTGTTCTTCGCCATGAGCAATGTCGCGTATGCAAAGGATGCCCAAAGAAGTTGTTGCTTATGGTAGGACAGAAGCCCGCCTCTGGAAAGAAGCCCGCCTCTGGCCAGCATTTCGTGCTCAACACCCTTAACCCCGGAATCCCTTGAGGCATGGCTGCGCGCTCAGCGGCGACAACTACTCGAGAGTGGTCTCTATGGAAGCCGTGGCCCTGAAGTTTCGGTTCAGGAGACCCGAAAAAGGTCAAAAAGACCGCTGAGTCTTCAAGCTCGAGGCAGTGACGCCGTAGTGCTTGCGCTGGATGTGAAGATCGCGCAGGTGTCTCCCGTGCGACTTCACATTCCCTAGTGCAGCGTTTGCCGTTATAATTTCTGAGTCTGAGTCCAAAATTTTGCAGCGAATGAAGGCTGCGAGTAGAAGGTTGGAAAGCACCTCCTTGCATCATCGCGCAGGCCGAGGCCCAGATGAACTGAGATGTCGAAGCCGGTGTCCTGAGAAGGGCATCATGTACATATTCCCTGTACATAGCTGGCATGCTTGACTTGCCCAAGTCTGCCGGCAATTCTGCAGGATGGATCCCCTTGTTCCAACATTTGGTAGGGACACTGCAGGTATAAGTACTGCAAAGCAAGAGCAAGGCAAAGCAGGCCAGGGGTGCGATGAAGCCAATTATGGCCGCGCAATATGTCGTTTGCAAGGAGGGGCCCGCATCGGCAAAACGTATACTGTAGGCTTTCGAGTTCTACAGCTCACATGCGCGGTGGCAAAGCTTGGGGAACAGATGCAAAACGATGGCTTAGCATGCTACTTGTGCAGGCCAACGTCTCCAGCGAAGCGATTGTCACCGGCCGGGACCTGAGCTCTGCCATGCTCTGCCATGCTCTGCCATACCACTGAGTAACAACCTCCTGAGCAGTCATACTTTAGCTGCAACAAAATTCCATGAGAAAGTGCAAGAACAAACTAACTAGTAGTCTGTAGTCTCGCAACGGCCCCGCCTCACCGTTTGCATGTGCCAGGCCGACAAGACGAATCAACCCCACTACAAGAAATTTGATTTTTCTTTTGCGTGAGCTTCAAATTTCGGTTGTGCGTAGACATTTGACGCTTGAGACGCGTGTACTTATGAAAGATGCAAAAAAGTCATTTGATTGATGTGACTTCACGCGGGGTTGATGTGACTTTGCTCCCGGCTGAAGTTGATATGAGTTTACGCGCGTTGATGTGACTAAACCCACCCCCTCGTACTTGCCTGACATCGTCTTATCTCCCATCCTTTTCCGAACCCTCAACATCCAGCGCGCCAAGATCGCCGAGCCGGGAATGTCCATGGAGAGCTTCGGAAGTCCCTCACTGCCTCCGCTGAGGGGCACGCTGATCGTGCGAAGGTAGGGATGCTATGCGGCAAGACTTGGGGCTTCTCAGGGAGCACAGTATCTGGGCCATGCATCGTAGTAAGCCAACCTCAATACATCAGAGTTTCGTTGTAGCAGAGAGCCTGGTCAGCAACTCGTAAGTGTACAGTGAGAAGGGAGCCTGAGATCCGAAGGATCCCAGCTTGCGCCTTGTCCTTCTGCAGTGGCTCGGGTCGGTCTCAAACCTTGACAAAAGCATAGTCTTTCCGTAATGTAATGTGCTGCCACATCGGCATCCACTAGCCAAGAGGACAGGGATACGCCTTGCTCATGCTCCCTTAGATGGAGCCTCGCCCGAATCTGGCACAACATAGAAAAGCCTTGAAGACCAGGGCGGCCATAAAAGCTGCCCTGCTGCCAGATCTGTTTCCCACGTTCACAGCTTGTGAATCTCACATGTTTGGCATTCATCGACTGCTCAGAACCTCGTGTATTTCTAACAGGCTTTGCAGCCTCAAGTTCGGCTGCAAAGAAATTTCATGCCGGAAAAAAAACAGTTTTCCAGTCCACGGGTAGAGTCAGATCCTTCTTTCGCATTCGCCATTGGCGCCATGGTGTCATGCAGCCGCAGCGAGGCTGCCTGCCAGGAACAAACTCTTTCGAGTCCCGGCTAAATGCAGGATTTTCCGGAGGTTAGTAGGGAATAAGGGAGCATATTGTATAGCGGCTACATGTATATATCTATGTATGGGGATTATTTTCCCGTATTCCCCCCAAAGAACTAGTAAAAGGAACGTGCAGAGAATGGCCTAGTCAAGGCGCTTCTAAGGGGAAGTGGTATGAAACCGCTTCTACGGCATACCAATTCTGTAAGGTCAACGTGCCTGCCGAGACGTATGTGGCAGTCGAGCCTTGCATTGTTGGTTTGTTGTTGGCACCACTGTTATCACGCGCAAGGACATTTTGGGGGGAGGCCTGAAGGTCCAAGGCACCGATTCTGAGTTTGATTTCAAGTGAAGTTGCAGATGTAGGAACGCTTCGGGGCTTTCCGCCAGCTGCTGGGACCCGGCTTCAGCTTTGCTGGGCTTGACCTCTGTGGGACCTGCGTTACCTTCCGTGCCATCTCAACTCGTGTGGAAGAAGAGCATTGTTCCATCTCTACGCAGACACGCGACCATGAGTTTATCACAGCAGAGATCGTCATCCAGTATTCGGTGATACCGAAAAAGGCCAAAGATGCAATCTACAAACTTGTGCATGAGGATTTTGACGGCTTGATGCGATCCTTCCTCACCGGACCTGTGTGCACCTTCCTGAATAGGCTAAACTTGGACGAGGTGTTTGGAAGGAAGGATGAGATGACTCAATCTGTTCGGGAACAGCTTTCAGACTACGTGCGTGGCTACGGCTTCGCAATCCATCGTATGGAGGCCGGATTGAGCCCAATTATGTTCAGCCAAAGATCGTTTTTAAGCAGTGCAAACTGGCAGGTGATTGAGCTCAAGGTCTGTCCCGAGGTGATGCATGCAATGAACGAAGCGCACAAACAACGCCGGGCACGTGAAACTGCTGAGCTGGCCATGGTCAACGAGGCAGCGCAGAGAGTGCAGGAGGCAGGAAGCAAGCTCAAACGAGCTTACGCAGGGGCTCAGTCTAAATACAGGGGTCATACAAAGGTTATACGGGGTTACATTATACATGGAGTTTGGGATACTCAGAACGTATCATCACATTATGGCTGTAGTTGCAAAACAAAGCCACGAAAAAGCCTGCAACAGGCATTGTGTCATGCCGACCTGATGCCAGCAGACAAGGCTTGACGTCAAATACAGACCCCCCCCATTCACTTCAACATGTGAAAAAAGATCAAACCACAACGTGATGAAGGCCAGTTCTCAGATTCAGTAATGGAGCAGTGACATCTTGGTGTGGGCCGATCTCAGAGGGCCTTTTGTACAGAAAAGTTGAAGAACGCAGGCGCGAGTTTTTGGCTGTCACTAAGCAATCACCAATCCCTGGCCAAGGACGACAGAAAGCCTACCGAATAAGTTAACCATAAGCCATTGAGTGTCGGCTTAAATGATCTTCTCTGACATTTTATAGCGATCATGTTGATTTTGTTTTCTTTCGTTGCAAACAGGCCGAGCAGTTCGCCTCGGCAGCTCTGCTGCGCGGTGAGCACCTTGCGGCACAGTGCGCGCAGATCCTCGGCGGCCTGCAGGCTGCGCCCTGCGTTTTTGTTGAACTGATGAAGTCATTGCAGGTAGTTGCCGGCACCATTCGAAAAGGAAGTGTGGAAGCTTATACAATGTTGGCGGAAAGGGTGCTTCAGGGTCTTCAATGTTCTCAGGGTCAGAAGCAGGATCAGAGCAAGCACTAATAAGCACTGCTGTTACAACTACGTTGTAACTCACTGTAGGATCTTTCGAGAGGCCTCGAGTTCCCTGAATGAGGGACTCCTAAATTGAGGTTAATACTGTACTGCTGAGAGTTCGGTTCAGGGTTTCAAGACGTTGGCAAGAACAGCTCAGCTGACATGACTCCTGCAAAAGGAGGGTGCAGGGGTGATGGAGCTATGACCAGTCTTTCGCACAAGTACGCCCCTTCTCTTACTTTCAGATGTTCGGAGTTGCTGCATCCTGCGTCTCCAACCCGCAGCAAGAAGGTCAAAAGCGTACATTTGCCTGCCCTGAAGGACACCCAGTCCAAGGACGAGCTCTTCAGCAAATTTGAGTCTGCCCACATCAAGCAGGCGATTCAGGAGACGTGCGCCCAGCCGCTGCCAGATGACATCGAAGATGTTCAGGACTTGCTGAAAGAAGCAGATGAGAGTGAAAACACATCTTTGCTGGCGAGTTCACGCGCCGCCGGGGTTTTGCTGGGGCGGTCGACTGCGGGTCCGCAGCAGAACATCATGAATCCAGTTTGATGATTTGTCTCTGGAGGAAGCGGGAGGCGTGAAAAGGTATCGTGCTTTCTTTCGCTGCTCTTCGGTACGGACGGAGATATCGTCTCTGCAATCGTCGCTGCTGTTGCGGCAAACCCTTCAGGTAAGCAGAGGTGTTGACGTTGGGGGTTTTGGCTTGCAACACAAGTGCTGTACATAGCTCAAACTAATGTAATTAGAGAGAAGTGCCAAACTCAAGCGGGTAAGTCATAGAAGGTTCTTCATTGCCGGCCAGGCACGCCGCCTGCTCCAGCAAGAGGACCTGAGCGTGTCCAGGACAGGGAGACACAGAGCGACATGGAATTTCTACGCACCACGCGGACGTCACCCTTGCCCTGAACCCTTGTAGATGCACAGGTATATTCAGCCGAAGCAGCCAGGAGTTTGCAGGAGTCTGTGGATCGGTGCAGCGAGCTCGAGGCTGTTGTCATCATGCAAATTCTGACGAAGTCCGAGTTTAGAATTGCGCTGCTGTGCTATACTAGGTTCTGAAGTTCATGTTACAGGCAGCATGAGGTCGGCGCTCAGGAGAGTGTGCAAGCGAGATGTACAAGTCGGGTCGTCAGTATCAAGAAAGTTGCCCATTGTGCTATTGGCTCAGCTGAAAGCTTTGCACTTGCAGCGCGACAAGTCCCATGCAAGCAACAGATGGGGCAAGTCTGGCCTCGACCCGTGGAATTCGACAGACAACCGAAGGACATACAGTAGTCTGAAAAGACTCTGGCCACTTGCTTCAAGTTGGTAGACAAAGCTTAGGTAAGCACAGTCACGCAAGTACGAGGAACCTGTGCTTTCGCTAGGATGAGGCCACAGCGGGGTCTGAAGGCCTGCAGGCCCCGGAGGCCGTGAGCCATGGAAGAGTGGGGCTTCTGCGCCGGCGATGAGGTTGAGCTCAGGCATCACTGTTTGAATGAGACTCATCTGACATGTACGCAGCCAGTCTGTTGCGAGGGGCCTGTCCAAACTGGAGCTCAATGGGCAGCGGGGCACTGTGCTTCCGTTGGAGTTTCCGGAGCAGGCACCACCCGATCACAACCCGCGTTTGCATTGAAAAAACTTGGCTTTTTGATTGATAGTCTTCATACAGTAACAGATTCATAGGCTCAGCAGCTGGGGCGTCTGGCTGTCATGCTCCACTCGGGCAAACGGCGTGGTGCCCGGCCAGTGATGGATGTATGTCTTTCTCTGAGGCTATGAGGATGTTTGTGTTGCCCCTGCACCTCAGGCTGTCTCTGAAGGTGGGGAATCTGCACAAGGTGAAGCTCGAAGCCGCTAGTGGGGGCACTACTTACTTGATTTGAAAAGTGCACATGCAGCTGTTGAAGGTTTTCTGCCATCCCGCGCCAGGGGATCTAGGAGAAGAATGGTCTGCTTCGTTGCGGCATGGTACTTCGCGTCCCCTGCGTGCACCTGTGGCACCGGGTCGGGAACTGGTGGCCAGGCTCTCGTCCCTTGCTGGCAGCTGTTGACACGCCGGAAACACGCCTGCTGAGGTAATGACCCTGAACATGCAGTACCTGGCTAACTTTCCGCAGGACCCGACGGTTGCGAGGCCGCCATAGTGTGCATCCATGTACATTCATGTGCATCAAACTTCGCATTTTTGGTGAGTCTGGAGTTTGAATACCAATCAAGACTTGAGACCTTGAAATGCAGAACTCTTTGGCGAAAAAGACATTTGAGTATCTCATTGCTGAGGCAGCGCAACTTAGTGAATAGTGGAGAATGTATGCTGTCAGCTGAAGCTGCCTCATCGAGTTCGTGCAGTTGACACCGTTTCAGCAGCTTGGGGCGAGGCAATTCTAAACCAGTGCTCTTGTAGTCGTCCAAAGGTGGACAGAGCCCGATTATTGGGAAAACCTTATCTCTAGAAGCATGGCTCAATACCGACAGTATCTCCAAACACCCCTCAAACCTTGCACATTGCTATAGGCCTTTCCCTACTTAAAAAAGCCCTTACACTACATCCCCAAGAATTCTGACCGACTTGGGGAGGACCCTGCACCCCAACCGAAATCCAAAACCTTAAACACCTGAAAAAACACAGCATCGCCAGCATTCATGGACTCATCTGTAGGCATCCTTCAAGCTGCTTCTGAACCCGCGAACCCTGTTACTCTGCATGATGCTCATCCCCGTTCTGGTTTCGGTTCAGGATGCTGCCCACTTTAGGTGGAAGGTGCCAAAAGAAGACTTCAGCATGCAGCATGTGCCTCTTTTGCGGACGGCATTCTGGTGTCGATGCTAAGCGTATGTTTATGGAATGTCCCTGTGGCTCAAATGCTTCTATCCCCTTCTGCCTGCAAAAATCCTCCCAACAACTCTGACATTCGCTGACACAGAATCCTTGAAGATGCAAACATGGCGGCAGAGCCGCTTAAGATCCTTGAGCCCCCTATATGAGCTATAGTCTAAACTCCTTAAATATATATAGGGGACAATTATAGGTTATTAAGGGGGATACTAGGAGTTTAGACTATAGCCCACTTGTCCAGGCGTCGGCTGGTAGAAGTCACGTCTGCAGCACCTCGCCCGGATGTGATCTGTGTGCAGGACGGCTCAGGGCCTTCTCCGTTTTCGAACCAAACAATACCTGAGCAAAAGCATATTTACATACATTTGTCCATGAATTTACTGCGGAGAACAACATTAGGAACGATTGGCTATGCATATCTTTGGGTCCATGCCTACTTGTGGCATGGACTTGGCAACGGCAGGAGACCCATGATTCGGAGACAGCTTGTAGAGCAGTCCAAACCCTACACATTCCTTGCATGACTGCATGACTCGAACTTGAGTCCCTATGTCCTGTGAATACTGAACTGCTCCAGATCATCGATCACCTGTCAGGAAGGCCTGGAGGGTATTGATCTCTTTGGCCAGGCCAGACGATGTTTTTTGTGGGGTCTCGGAATCAGGTGAGTGTGTACTGACGGTTACAGAAGTTGCTATCTGGCTTCACGTTGGGCTCGGGATATGATCAAAGCTAGGAGATTTTCACAGTTTGGAATCCTTTGGGGCATTCTGGTTCTCAGAGCCTAATGAAACTTGTAAATGAAAGGGGTCCTCTTCTGTCGAACAAGGGGCAATCGACGCGGTTTCTTCTCGTATGTTCTCGTGAGGTTGGCTACAGCAAGCTCATCTCCTCTGCGGTGAAGGACTCGAGAGATGTCCACACTCGTGTCGTAGGTACCCGTATCGTCAGTTACAGTAGGGGCCAGTAATAGTAGCAGATTGCGTTAACAGGAATATGGCAGCCATATGCCTTGTGAGCTTGTTTTCAGATCAGCTGGGTTTCGGAGAAGCCTCTTCAGACTACTGCTGGTCGCAGCCGCTAGTCCGCGAGTCCGCTAGTCCACGAACCCGCAGATGCAAGGCGGAACGGCCACTCCCGCCAACTTTCTTTGCAGGCGCAGACACTTCAGGAGTGCCTTTACGACGACCCTGGCGCCCTTGGAGCCACGGCCTCATGGCTTTCAGTGCAGCCTGGCGAGTAGGGTTTTCAGCGATTTTGGGTGCTGGCTACGGGGCGAATTTGGCCTGTGCGTTAAAGGCAATGGCCTCCGGAATGGTGCTTGGCAAGGAATGCTCTTGAAGGGCAGGAACTTGAAAGACCCAATCAGCCCTTCCTAGTGCTCCGTTCTTTTGCTGCAAATCCTGCGCTGCAAGGCTGTACCGTCTGTTGCCCATGGCAGCCTCATGGTCAACGAGCTGAGTCCTCAGCATGCGGAAGCCAACATGATCACGAGGACTTTCCGTCCCGTTATTTGTTCTCGTCAAAATCAAGCTGCCCTTCTAAATTGCAAATTCTGAATGCGACCCTGATTTGCTTGTGTCTTCCATTAGGGATTGGGTCAAAGCATGCCTTCTCCACCTGTGGGTATGCAAAGCAGACTCGTTGTGGGCAAAAGCCGCGCAAAGTGCTCACACACGGCCCTTTAGGTTGTATCTGCGCAGTGATGATTGCCTCTGGGAAGTGCATTCGTCAGCACCTTGGAGTGGTCCAACTGCCAGCAATGTTCTTCCGAGCCGCATCTGCAGCCAGAGCGCTTGATGCTTTGAAGCCCTTGATGCCACATTCTTCTGGCGAGTCGGTGTTCCACCAACTCTTCCAGTACCTTACTGATTCGTGTGCATCCACATCAGGCTTAAAGCAGAGCTTCGGCCCTCCGTGACGAAACCTTTGGAAACTCGCCTTTGCAACGCACCCCGCTGTAAGAGTCCCTTTTTGATTAAGCCCGGAGACCAAGCAAACCAGCAACGAGGTGTTGAAGCCATGGGTGTGCCACAGAGACTGTCACAAGGGCAGCCCCCATGTTCCCGGACTCCTCCGCTTGTATATTTGCAAAATTTTGCCATAGGTTCATGCACGCAGCCTCATCAGGACGGGTGTGGAGCAGATCTCGTCTCCGTCCCTGGCAGTCTCGCAGGGCCGAACCCCCAGTGTGCTGTTTGTTAAGCTTGTGGCTACTCGTGCTTTTGCCAGGTTCGAAGCAATTCTTTTGAATGCACATTCCAGTGTTTGACAGAGCAGGCATGGGTGCCTAAAGTGGTGCCAAGGCAGTCCAAGATTCAGCGATCACTGTTTCGCTTGTATCGGTTGTCTTTATGGCAGACCACCCAAATGTCCATGAACCAGAAACATTGGGTTTGTAACAGCGACGTAAGCTTTTCACAAAATTGTCCGGCATTTCGTTGGGCATACGTGTACCAAGCATTCGTGACAAACGTATGTAACGAGGTAACAAGAGGCCACGATAATGGAGTATGTCACAAGGGGCAGCCTACGACATAACGGGGCTTTGAGCTAGGCATTGATGGAGGATGCTTGAGTTTTTTTCCGCTCCGCCGAAGTGTGCTCTCAAGACCTGGACCTTACCGAGGGGCTGCTGGAGACGCAAGTCTTCGCCATGCGAGTGTCAGGAGCACCAGGATATCCATCTGAGAGCCCTAAGCAGAGCTCAGGATGCTCTACAAAGCCTAAAGGAGCCCCATACTCAAAGTCAGAGCAAGTATATACCCACCCCAAACCCCAAGAATTTGACAGACTCTGAGCGCCACCCTCAGCTCTAAGGCAGTGAGCCGAAAGCTCTGGTGACACGGTCAGCGGTCTGGGCCAGGTCTTGGTCTCAAATTGGGCTACCTCGACGGATCCTTGATACATAGGGTACCTAGGGGATTATGGGGTTTCCTTGAACAAAATATCTAGTGCTAGTATGTACTAGTGTTGAGAAATTGTCTTCATTGCTTATGAGGCAGTTTGGAGGGGGTGCTGGAGGTTGGTCAGCATCTTGGTTTTGGGTGTTCCAAGGACATAATTCCTTTCTTCCCTGGAATCTTGGAAGCCCGGGTATGGGCCATGGGCACTCCTTTGACGCTAGTTGGCATCAAAGCAGCTGCTCCTAAAGTTGCGATCGCCTTGCGCCGTGCATCATCTGATTCCCGCAAGTTTGTGGACCGATAACAAGCAAGGGGTTGGCCTTTAGCCCAGTTAGTTGGAGCTCCGTTTTGCCATGTGCAAAAACATTGAGCTCCCAGCTGAGAGTGCGGTGTTCACTGATGTTCGCCCAGGCCCGGGCCGAAAAGGGGGGGGCGGATACTGGCGCAAGGTGGTGCTATACTGAAGCTGATAATGTGGGAACATGGTATAACTCAAGTAGCAGAACCTTACTTGTGGTTTGGGATGTTGCACCTCCTCATGAATCTCCGAGCGGGATGATAGTAATGAGCACGCTCTACGCGCATGTCATCATGTCTGGCTTATCCAGGTCGTGACAAGGACAAAGGCACTGCCAGAGTCAGAGCTCAGTCGGCGTTCTCACCCGATCCGCGCCCTCAAGAGGAACACCTCCGTCGCATTTTTGGCCCAGCTCCTTGGCTGTTGCACTATGAAGACATGTTGGAGCCTACCCAGGCCATTGGCATTGGTTGTGTTCCATCTGAGTTTGCATGGCTGCTTATCTGCTTTTCTGGAGGATGGGGAGCCGCCTTCGCCACAGGCGATCCACCACCCAGCAGCACTATGTGCTTGGGATGAGAGGCCGGTTGGAGCTTGCAGCGTGGAGCCTTCTTGCAGTCTTCTACAGCTTCAGAGCAGTGACGACTTCACAGAGATGATTCCCCTCCTTAGCTTCTTGGCGCTCGCGGCGGTTTCTGATGGAGCTGCATCAAGAGAGGTACCAAGGTGAGGCTCCTAGCCAAGCTTGGCTGAAGGGCGGAAGGGTCCAAATCCACATGTTTTTTCTTAAGCGTTCCATCTCATGCCGTGGGCGGCATGAGGGCTCTTTGAAGCATTTAGCCCATGTTGAGCCCCGTGGAGCTAGCAATCAAGTGTTGGGCTGCAAGGTGTGTTGCAGTCGAGGAAAGTGCATACCTTACGCGCTCATTATCTGGCATCTTATAAAGGAAGTAAGATTAGGCTACCTTACTTGGTATATCTAACGCTTTAATATGATTCACCTAGCTCACAAAAGAGTTCCTCAACAGCAACCCACTTATCCGAAGTGCGGGGCTGACCCATGCCTTGCAAGCTGTGCTTGAGACTAGCACCCACCTGGATGGAGCACATTGGGTGACAGCGGGCATCGATGGCCAGAGATCCTGCTGTCTTACGTGGCTAGTGCAGCATTTTTGAACTGGGAGACTGAGCTGTTCTCGACTAAGCATGCTTGTGCGTAGGATGATGATATCGGTTTTGGAAACTGCTCAGTGCATGGGACACCTGCAGCCTTTACAGCTGCTTTTTGGTGATCTCTGTCCTTTGTGATGACGCATGTGCCAGGTTATTTTGAGGCCGTGCGTCAGCACGTTCCATGTGGTCTCAGCCACAGCTTCCGCTCTGGCACAGAGGCAACAGTAGAGCAGCGTCAGCCAGTTGAACTAGCAGCTCGCAGAGTCATCCCAATCGTGGTGTGCAGCCTTCATGTGGACTCTGTTGACAAAGCTGGCGCGATCCTACACCCGCATAGCAGCGAACGACTTGCAACTTGCAACTTCGCATCTCTCAAAGATGATGACAAATCTAGAAACGGCATTAGTTTGCAGGGCAGTGCTTAAATATAGACTTATAATTCATGATGCTGATGCGAGCTCGCGGGAGAGTGCGCAAGTTGAGGGCTTGCCTCAACTCCAGCGCTGCGAGTCCTAATTCCAAATTTGCAACAGCGCAGGTGCCGCATTTCCATGGGGTGTGGAGGTATGCACCTGCATTTGTGTTTAGTGAGCCTTCAGACGCCGCCGCAACGTGACGCGCTGTGCGGCGAGGATTTGCTAATCTTTTGGTCACGGTGAGGAGGCCAACGGACTTCTCCATGCTGAAAGATACAGCGGAGCAGTTATTGACTGAGTTTGACAAAGACAGCTGAGTCAAGACTTTGCTTCGGCCCGTGAGTTCAAGCTGGGAACCTGGAGCTTGTTTCGCTTATCTCTGAGAAATGTCTGCCACGAAGGATCTCTGTGCTGCCTTCCGCTACACACCGTAGCCTGCGGCATGGACATGTGAAGCCCTGCTCGAGGAGCTGTCAAAAAGGTGTCTTTGAGCCCTTCAGCTAGCAAGACTAACCTCAATCCAAAGACAGATTCCTGGATTCCTGATGCGACGCCTGCTTGGCACCGTGAGGCTTTGTTTGAAAGGCTCCACCGAGGCGCCTGCAAGATGGGCATCACTTTAATTCCTCGATAAAAGCATTTGTTCGTCTGTTCACTCGTCAGGGCCCCTTTGTGCACGTGTTGAACACGCAGCTGAGCTGCTCGCATTCAATGGAGACCTCACTGCTTGTCGTGTCGCTGGAAGTTATCTGTCACACTTTGCTGAAGCTTCCCTGGCCGAGGTGGTTCCAGAGTTGAGGACATTGGCTGGTATCTGCATCAGCTGGCTGTCAAAAGCATTTTGTGCTTTACTTCGCTGGGAGGATGAACTTTTCTTGTCGCAGCTAGGCGATGAGAGGACTGCCACAGGGCATCATGACAGCTTGCATCAGCTTGCATCAGCTTGCATCAGCTTGCGTGGTGGGGCTGTAAATGGACCTGCGCATTCTGTCCTCTTGCTTCTGCATCGAAGGCAATACGTCGCAGGGTTAGGGCTCGAGCACGGATCCATGGCGGGCATCTTAGGGCATTTGTAGCCATATGCCATGAGCATCCAGTTAGTCTCGCAAGAAGAAGGCGAAGAGGCATGGCTGCTAGGCCAAGAGGAGGGCAGAGGCGCGCTAGAGCCGGAGAACTCGCAGACCTCGCTGGCCAGCCTTTCTCCTCGGTTAAAGTGTGTACTCCTTTGTATACTGGCCCTTGGATGTGCGATGGTGTTTGCCAGAGCCCGGGCAGCAAGTGTTGAGCAGCCGAGTCGCTTCAGGCAAAGCATTCTTGCAAAGTACGAGAAGGGCCTCGAAGCAAAGGACTCGGCCCAGCACGACCATAGTGATTTCAATGTCGGGCCAGCGAGTCTGGTCTGGCAGTGCATGTCCGCGTCAGTACCTACTGCGTGTCAAACATCCTTCGCAAGTACCTTTCTTGCGATGCTCGTCGCAGCTTCGATCTGCCTCGTGCTTGGTGCCATACAGTTCTTTTTGAGAAGACAAAGTGCCGAGCTCGCTATGGTGAGAGACGACCTGAAGCGGATCATGCAGCAGCCTCTGATATTTGATGCTCATGAGCTGAAATCCAGCGTCCCGGATCTTGAAAGCAAAGGGAGGATGAAGAAAGCCTGGGATGTCTCAGCACGCAGGGAGAACCTCCAGGTCTTGGATGAACTCGCATTAATTATGAATCGATATCCGAGCGTCCACTTTCAGCTAGTTGGTGGTTCCCTAGGGACTGGCGAGATCAGTCAGCGAACTGAGTCAGCCTTCTACGAGGACTTCCACAGCCATTTCCCAAGTGAAAGGATGGATTGGCTCCAACCTTATGCCCAGGCTCGTGCCTTGAGCCTGAAGAGACACCTCGGGCAGCGTGGCATCTCCTTCCATCGCTTGCATGTGAGTGTTCGAGTGCAGGAGTCCAACGCGCTTGTGGTAGAGGCGTTTCTGTAGCAGGCATGGCAGTCCTTCAGACACGTGCGCCGATTTCCCCAAGTAGTTCGAGTTTCACCAGTTTCACCAGGGGGCATGGGTAATCCCAGAAAGACTCTCCCCGCATAACATGCCACACCTGCTTTTCGTGCGCACTGTGCACCTGGCAGCTGCAATAGCTTCTTGTTTTGATAGCATCTTGTTTTGACGGCATCAAGAGTCTTCCGACAGGCATTGGGGCTCAAGATCAGAAGGCCTACAGAAGAGGCGCACTTACAGCAATCGCGCGGATGGCTCTAACTCGTGTCCCAAGCTTGGATGCTACCGCTTCGTTTGCTGGCAAGTTCAAGTCTTCCCAACAGTTCCAACATCCAAGGTCTTGGCTTTCTCGACGCTGGCTTCGGCTGTGGCGTCCTCCCTTTATGATCTTTCCGCCATTGATATTGATGGGAACAAGGTCCCCCTGTCTTTGCAAGGCCTGCCGCCATGTCACGATGGTTTGACAGACCGCCCCCGCATCAGTCAGTTTCAGAACTTGCTGTACTGTGCATATTGACAGGCAACGTCAGCGTCGTGATCAACGTTGCCACCAACTGAGGCTTCACGCAGTCCAACTATGAAATGCTGACTCGACTTCAGAAAAAGTACGCTGACAAATCTGACTCTTGACTGGCTTGGCAGGCACATGTAGGGGCCCATAGGTAGCACCTTCAAGGATTTAGGGCCATGAGACCCCCTGAACATCTCCGAGCCACCTTCCCCCGACCCTTCTGAAAGCATCGGGTCCAGGCAGATGCCCGTCCAGTAGCCAGTAGCTAGTAGCTCTGTTGAGTGAGGTTCGATTTCTCCTGTTCCCGTGCAATCAATTCGCTCAGCAAGAGCCGGGCACCAATGCAGAGATCAAGAAGTTTGCCGAGCAATACGTGGATCTGGCCAAATCTGGCCGTGACAGCAATGCTGCTCGGATTTCAAGTGGTGCAAGATTGCCGGTTGGTCCGAACCTAGCCAGCATGGTTTGAAGCTCCATGCCAGCCAGGTCATCATGTTCGCCAAGTCAAACCTGAATGGCGTGGCCTGCACGTACTCCGGCGAAGATGCGTGCACCCCAGGATCGAAGGAGTGCTGTGCGCAGAACGATGCGGTGTACAAGTACCTCCTCGCCAACACGCCACCGGGAACCATTTCCTGGAACTTTGACAAGCTTCTCGGCCAGAGATCTGTTTGTGTCCATCCCTGGTCAAGTCTACCCCTCTGCAAGGATTGTGACCGACGTTTCTGGGAAGCCTTATTCTGGCGAGGTGATCATGTGCCGCGGCTGTGTTGATTGGTCGCCTTGCTACTGGTTAATATTTGCACCCTTGAGCTAGAAGCACTTCTCAGGCATGGAGGAGATGTCGATGCTGCGGTGAGCTCTGCCGTGGACAGCCTGCTCGAGGTGCAACATTAGTCGCATCAAGCCTGTGCCAAAGTCCAAAACTCATGGATCCTATGCCGAGGGGAAAACACCCAACCTGGTGGCCCTGCCTGACACTGCCTTCGCAGCTGGCTGGATGCATTCGTGGCAGTGGCCAGCGTTGGTTGCGTCAGGCTGGAACGGGATGGATCTTGTTCTGTTCGGATCCTCATTTTGAAGCCTTCCTTCCTGAGCCACTGGCAAGGACCTTCTGTGTCTTGGACTGTAGCTCTCTCCCTTTTCATCCCTCCCCTTCTCCCCTTGCCAGCCCTTGCCTTCGCTTTCTTACGACAAGTTCTCCTCACCGAACTAATCGTTCCGTCACGCCTGTTTTCTCGGCTGCTGGCAGCGTTTGCAGATGCTTTGCAGGCCTGCTGGCAAGCGCAGGGATCTACGCATCCAGGTCCAAAGGACAAGCGGTGGATGCGGCGGCAGATGACAGCTCTGGCTACATTCAAATTGCATAAGGCCCATTAGTTTCATGCGGCCGTCTTATTGCATGCTGGACTCTTTTTGCAGAAGCTCCGGGTCAAAGATAGAGTCAGGATACCTACACATCTATCCAAACACACTAAGTGTCCGCTTGCGCCTAGTCTCCCTACTGGAGGCTAGTAATTCAGTAAGTCTGTTGGATTTAGGATCATGTGCAGGGTGGATGCCCGTGAACTAGGCATGACCACCACTTTTTCGCCATGTGGGTTTCAGTCCTCACCTGGCCGCGTGCAGTTGCACATTTTCTGGCTCCCTACTGAGTGAGCCAAAGAGATCAGATGGCACGTGTCTGCATGTTGTTGATGTGACGTAAGCTTCGGCTGTTTGGGATTGGACAGAGGTTGATTTAAGTGATCTAACTCCATGTAAGAAGGCATGCTTCTGGCAAGGATGCGACCCCTGTCCCATTCGATCAGGCTTGCTGAGATTCAGCTGCAAAGCTTGCCATCTGAGAGACGCATACAGAAAAAGGTCCTGCGTTTCCTGCTCAATTTCGTTTCCTGAGCTAGGGCCACGAAAGCCGTGGAAATTTGCAAGTTCCTTCTTGTGTAGAATTTGCAAGGATGGAAACATGTGGGTAGCAGGATAGCATACTGTATCCTCCATTTTTTGCAGCTTCACATCACTTAATTGTCCGTTTGGTCAGGAGACGGCAGGCCGCCCGCCTTGTGGACCTCTTCACCCAGCAGTCCGGTGAGGCATTTCCGCAGAACGCAGGGCTTGAAGTCAGCGATTAAGAGCTGAAGACTGCCTGCTGCTGCAATTCCAAAACTTGCGAAGTTCTGTGTGCACCGGCGTTAGTTCCGTAAATAACGCGATCTGCAGAGGCCTGGATTTCATCGAATCCCCAGACTGCGTGGTATCAGATTCCACTCCAACAAGAAATCGTCTCTGTGAAAGGAATTCTCTTTTCGTCTCTTGTGTAGGACGATTTGGGAATCATCGTGGGAGACTTTGGCGCGGTGCCTCCTGCTCAGAGAGCTGAGCCAGTGGCTGCTCGTGCCCCCAAGATTTTCTTTTCTTCCTGCAGCCTTGCAACATATGCCCAACGTTGGTCGTGAATGAAGCCCCCGTTGCTGCGGAGATGTTGATCATAGACCCCAGAGGTATCCTGAGACGTCTTGTTGTGCCGATGTTCACAACTTCTTGCAGATTGAAGACACAGATGGCAAGATCTGTCTGTGATGTTGACCCCTAACACAGCCACCCTACTTGCGCTTGCCATCCAGGTCAGGCCCATTTGGCAGCGACTACCCGGCACAGGCAGAGGTGCCTTCTGATTTTTTGCTGATTAAAGCCTGGCTGTGATGACTATGGTCATAGACTCGTTGATCAACATCTGCCGGGTGAACTAAGCAGTCACCAATTCAAAGAATGCATTTCAAGTGGTATGGGAGTTATAAGAGCCCCTTGTCTTCACCCCTTCATTCAGCTCTTTCAGATGCCCAACGGAAACAACACGTTCCACATGCTTCTAGAACTATCCGAATGAATTCTGGATATTCCGGTGAGTGCCAGGCTCCACTCCAGACCCTGCAGGATGTCGGCTGGTCCCTAACATATGACAAGGAGGCAATCCCTGCAAGCTGTAGGGGGCTCAGGCACCCGACCTCTGGCAGCAGCAGCTTGTTGTTAGCTGCTCATCGTGACCAGGGTTCTGTGTATTCAGCAAGCTTACCTGCCTTTCCGATAATGCGCCAGCAGCTAAAGGCACTCATGACATCTCGTGACATCTTGTGAAGAAGAATGCAGTTGCCATGCGTAGACCGTACACCAGCTCCTCTATTGCGTACCTACCCACTTTCTACGCTCAGGTCTTTTTGGATTCCTGTCAGATTTCATGGCCACCAGTCAGAAGGTGCGTGAGCCAGCTGAATTCTTGGTGAAAACGAGGGGCAGTCGAGGGGCCTTCTTAGACCGCAGACCCTGAGTTCAGCTATGCTCATGGATGCCGCTGGAAAGCGCGCACGATCTCAACACAGCCTCGGATAGCAATGAATCTCTGATGTTCTCCATCTCCAACTGCAAGCTTACGAGCTCATACAGCTGAAGCGTTTGGCGCAAAGCCTGAGCTGCAGACTCTCATTGCAGCTGCACATGAACATCCCTGCCTTGCAGTGTGCAGGTAACCCCGCGATGTGTGGAAGCCCTTGCCACAGCCGACGTTATCGGCGAGGCACCGGGCCGATTGCTGTTTTAAAAGAACCTGGACTTGGGCAACCCATTGGATTACGCTCATACGACTCAAATGCGCACACCTCTTGGGCAAAACATGGTCCACCACGATTCCCAAGTTTCTGTAAAGTCCTAGGAAGAACAACAAGTGCAAGGGTTGAGTGCACAGGGTTGCTTTATGGATGCACTTTGCTGTAATTATGGCTCAAGGAGCAGAAGCTTCAAACCAAAGTCAGTTAACACAATCCCTGAATAGATACTTCCAACAGCGGATGCGCCAAGGCCGCTGCTAGAACTGGAGCAGTGGCAGTAGCAAGGGCAATTCCGCGGCCACCAATGTGATCAACGTGCCTAAATAGCAGCTACAGTACATACAACTACGACATTCGCATGCGATAACTCTGAACTGGCGATATTCTCGATATACGTGCCATGTTGTCTAGAGTGATCACCACCACCACCACCACCACCACCACCACCACCACCACCAGCAGCACCAGCACCAGCACCAGCACCAGCACCAGCACCAGCACCAGCACCAGCACCAGCACCAGCACCAGCACCAGCACCAGCACCAGCACCAGCACCAGCACCAGCACCAGCACCAGCACCA